GTATGGAAGATGCTATTAAAAGGATCACTGATACCGTTGTAGAAAACAAAGCTCACGGTAAGCATACTGTAGGGGTGGCTCTGGATATTGAAAATGCTTTCAACAAAGCAGATTGGAAAATATTAAAGAATAACATCAATGGTCTCGGATTACCGGATAACATTACCGGGTGTATCTTTAGCTTTCTGGATACCAGAACGATTATGTTTAATGATAGTGAGGGTAATATTATTGTCGAGAAAGCTGCCAACATAGGGGTGCCACAGGGCTCTTACCTTGGTCCTATCCTGTGGCTCATTTTAATCAATACTGCATTTAGCTTTTCTAATCATATAGATTTTACAAATTTCATTGATTTAAATCACAGTGATTTTAAGCTCATCGCTTTTGCCGATGACCTTTTTGTTATGGTCGGTTGTCCGATTTTTTACCATTTCGATTCCCTGGTGACCTATATTCTTTCTCAACTCTCTGCCTGGGCCGAGTCTAACAGTCTTAATTTTAGCAAAGAAAAAACCCAAATGATCAATTTCTTCACAGTTAATTTAAGCTCATCGCTTTTGCCGATGACCTTTTTGTTATGGTCGGTTGTCCGATTTTTTACCATTTCGATTCCCTGGTGACCTATATTCTTTCTCAACTCTCTGCCTGGGCCGAGTCTAACAGTCTTAATTTTAGCAAAGAAAAAACCCAATTGATCACTTTTTTCACAGTTAATTTAAGCTCATCGCTTTTGCCGATGACCTTTTTGTTATGGTCGGTTGTCCGATTTTTTACCATTTCGATTCCCTGGTGACCTATATTCTTTCTCTACTCTCTGCCTGGGGCCGAGTCTAACTGTCTTAATTTTAGCAAAGAAAAAACCCAATTGATCACTTTTTCGAAAAACAACAAAAAAATAGTCAGATTTCCATGCATCAAACTAAACATTAACGACAGAAGTAATAATAAGAACGTTTAAACCCTAAAATATTTGAAAGTAACGCTCGACCCGGGCCTAACTGGGATCCTCCATCTTAATGATACTAAAGATAGAATTACAAGATTTAATCAGGGAATCAGGAGAGTTGCCAGAGCAACATGGGGCCTCAATCCACATATACTTAAAAGAATATATCTTCTGGCAAGTGAACGAATCATTCTTTACTCCGCCAGTGTCAGGTACAGGAATACTACAAAGATTAATGATAAACTTAAATCTCTTCAAAAAATTACATTGCTTACTCTGACAAAAGCCTACTCAACCACAAGTACCGAGGCAGTACAGATACTGGCGGGAATCATCCCAATACAACTCAAAGTTACATGTCAAAGATACATGTCTACGCTCAGCAAAGTAAATCACTTCTTACTTTTATGAACACTAACACCCTGCTCTTGAAAAACACTATTTTCAGAAACAATCTTATCAATACACTTATATAGTTATTGCTCTATATAATTATGCCATCATTCGCAAGTTTTTTCACTTGAATAAATTTAAATTTTACAAAAAGAGGTATGAGATTTTTGATTGTATTACTCCTTTTTTTTCATTATATGTATTTTTCTTAACCATTTCATTGTATTATTCCAAATAAATTTTCTATACCCTTGTTTTCAACACATTGGGTTCTACAAGTGATATTTTTTCTTGCAAATGGATGCTAGGTGAGAATATCGTATTTTTAAATCAATACATTTAATAAGAAAACATTGTTAATTTTTGACAGAAAATTTTCTGAAAATGTTTAGAAAAAAAGCAGCCCTGCAATCATCTCGGGTGCTGTACTATATAGCAATAGTTTCGAAATAATGTTCTAGGGGTTCCCAACGGGTTCTGTGTCAGGGTCACTGGGATTCTACCTGTTAGCAAATTTTTAATGAGTTACGATTTTCGAAAACTGCATTTAAATTTATGTCTAGTTAATTAGCCATTAATAAATGTTATAAATAATAATTCTAATGTTCTAATGAGATTATTAAATTANCATTCTCACAAAAACAGTCATTTTCATGTCCCCAGTATATTTTATGTTTGTTTTACAGCTTACGAAAAAAAAATTCAGGGAAAGTGTCCTTCAGAATGCAAGCTAACAAAAGAATAAAAATAAAATTATCAATTTTTATTTTTTATTTATTTTAGGTATTTTAGGTTAACTCCATACACTCCATACATACATTAATTAACATCAATAACCTGCCCGCGGATAGCGCATTTTCAGTGCCATACAAGATTGCTAGCAACAACTTTGCAAAGCACCAGTCTTTCAATCCTATTGTCACGAGTAGCGGAATGACGAAAACTTATAATGATACCATTGGGGAAATCATGGCGCATCACTTCCCGGAGGCACAAGAGGACAGTGTGCCACACAATTGTTGTGGTACCCAAGACCCAGATTTCACAATGGAAGAGCTGGGGCTGGTGATAAGTAAACTTAGACCAGGGAAATCACCGGGCCCTGATGGCATACCCAATGAGATTTTTAAAGAAATGTTTATTGTTAACGGCATATGGCTTCTTATTCTCTTTAACATCTGTTTGAGAATGGGATACTTTCCGAGACCTTGGAAAAAGGCCAGAGTCGCCCTTATTCCAAAACCTAACAAGGACACAAGCTTAGCAAATTCTTATAGACCCATTTCGCTCCTCTCAGTCTGGGGCAAAATTTTAGATAAACTCTTAAATAAAAGACTAGTGTTTTACTTGGAAGATAAGAATATTATTCATGAGAACCAATATGGCTGCAAATCTGGGAGGAGTATGGAAGATGCTATTAAAAGGATCACTGATACCGTTGTAGAAAACAAAGCTCACGGTAAGCATACTGTAGGGGTGGCTCTGGATATCGAAAATGCTTTCAACAAAGCAGATTGGCAAATATTAAAGAATAACATCAATGGTCTCGGATTACCGGATTACATTACCGGGTGTATCTTTAGCTTTCTGGACACCAGAACGGTTATGTTTAATGATAGTGAGGGTAATGTTATTGTTGAGAAAGCTACCAATATAGGGGTGCCACAGGGCTCCTCCCTTGGTCCTATCCTTTGGCTCATTTTAATCAATACTGTATTTAGCTTTTCCAATCATATAGATTTTACAAATTTCATTGATTTTAAGCTCATCGCTTTTGCCGATGACCTTTTTGTTATGGTCGGTGGTCCGATTTTTTACCATTTCGATTCCCTGGTAACCTATATTCTTTCTCAACTCTCTGCCTGGGCCGAGTCTAACCGTCTTAACTTTAGCAAAGAAAAAACCCAATTGATCACTTTTCCGAAAAACAGCAAGAAAATAGCCAGATTGCCATGCATCAAACTAAATATTAACGACAGGAGCAATATTAAGAACGTTAAAACCCTAAAATATTGGGGAGTAACGCTCGACCCGGGCCTAACTTGGATCCCCCACCTTAATGAAACTAAAGATAGAATTACAAGATTTAATCAGGGAATAAGGAGAGTTGCCAGGGCAACATGGGGCCTCAGTCCACTTATCCTTAAAAGAATCTATCTTCAGGCAAGTGAACGAATCATTCCTTACGCCGCCAGTGTCTGGTACAGGAATACTCGAAAGATTAATGATAAACTTAAATCTCTTCAAAGAATTCCATTGCTTACTCTGACAAAAGCCTACGCAACCACAAGTACCGAGGCAGTACAGATACTGGCGGGAATCATCCCAATACAACTCAAAGTTCTTGAGGAAATTCTTGTTAAACGGACGAAATGGGGCTGGAGACTGAACGACTTAGATTACATTCTTGATGAGTCAATTAACAACCAAATTAACTTTGATATCCCAGCCCCAGTGCATCCCTCAACGTATCGGGCCTTGACCTGGGTATATGATAGCCCAAAAGATCTGGGCACGGAGATCTTCACCGACGGCTCTAGGATGGAGACTGCTATTGACAATATATACAGGACGGCATACGCTTTTATCGTGTACTTTAATGGTATAAAAATTCACCAGTTCTCCACCAGAGTCGCGGATAATACCAATATTTTTGTGGCCGAGTTGTTGGCGATAAGATCAGCGCTTCAGTGGATAAGCAATAATGATATCAAGGACTCTGTTATCTACTCTGATTCTCTTTCGTCCCTCCAGGCCCTGGCTGACCCGGAGCCCACGTCAAAGATCATAGAGGGTACAAAAAGATATTGGGTACCAGGCATTAAACTGAATTGGGTGAGGGCTCATGTGGGCATCCGGGTAGACATGGAGGGTATGAGGAGGTAGACATGGCTGCAAAAAATGCCATCAGTTCGGACACGACTGATCTCCAATGTCTGAGGACCCCAAAACAAGCAAAAACAGAAATTAGGAAAAGAATTATGAATAAGTGGGCAAAAGAGTGGAGAGTCAGTGAAAAAGGCAGGCGTACATGCAACTTTATTAAGACTCCTACTGTTACAAGATTGCAAACAAATTTTTATTTTAACCAGTTTTTAACGGGGCACGGAGTGTTCGGCACTTACCAAAAAAGATTTTTTCACAAAGATGACAAATGCCCCTACTGTAATGCTACACAAACTATCCAACACCTGCTTTTCGATTGTGCCCATTTCCGAACACTCCGGGAAAAAAATTTGACACCAAAACCGAATACCAAATTTTTGCTAATAATGATTGTAGGAAAATCATCAAGGATATCATTAAAATCACTCTTGAAGACCTGCTCGCATTCAACAATATCACTTGACCTGCACTCCAATCTGCCCAGTCTTTCTATTTAAGTTTTATTATCTAGTTGCTTGTTCCTTATTTTAGGTAATTAAAATATACCAATATGTCATTCCCTCACTTGTCCCCACTGCTGATTTAAAAAAAGAAAAAAATTGTTTCTGAAAAAATTCTTAAAACATTATTTTAAGAAAATAAATGTAATTTTTTCACTTTAAGAATATCAAAGTAAAATGTGTAGTACATGAAAACGTTCGCAACGCTTTTATCTTCTGATTGTTTACGTTCCAGTTATTTAATTCATAGAAATTTTATTTCGTTACAGTCTATAAGCCTCCATCCATTATTTGTCCGGATGATATAACGGTAGAACTTAGTTTCAATGAAAGCTCTTCAAATCTCTCTATTCCTCAACCAATCACGAACATGGAAGATGTTGAAATTTATCCTGATTGGATAAGGTTAGAACAACCCATTCCTTTCCCAAGTGGCAAAACAAACGTATTATTTAAAGTAAGAAATGCTGACTCCAACGTGACTTCGCAGTGCATCATGACAATCAATGTTATAGGTGAGGTTTTTTTAAAAACAATATTTCAACCAAAATATCATTATGATTTATAAACATCTATTTCAGTTCTACAATTAAGTGTTTTACAAAAGCTCCCCTTCTCTTTTAAACCTCAGACGTTTTTCTGTGTTGCTCTAGCTGTAGATTATGCATGTAATTCTAAATGAAAGGAATTTTAAGTTCAGATGTTTGCTGAAAATTAGAACTGTTCGGTAAAAGTCTGGAAATTTTTCCGAGACGCATCTATGAATCTTTCGTTAATTCTGTAATTAAATATAAAGTTTCGAAGCCAATTTATCCATTTTTAATTGTTCTCAGATAGGCTAATCGCAGGACAAGGCTCCACCGAAGTCAAGAAGCATAACTGGCAGTGGTTATAGAGTGGATGGGTTATCAAATGGGGTGACCCATTTGAAGAGGCTGCCAATGAACCACGGGTCTGTGGTATCAGTCCTTAAATTGTTCTACCGTAAACATCACGCACTGCTCATGGAGCTACCAAAGGGCGGGAGCCATCCCCTGTGCAGAGGATCAAGAGCATGTTCTCGGAACGTCATCAGACTTGTTTCCCAGAACGTCGTCAGCAGTCCATTGTGCACCTCTAGTGCGACGTAAATAAAGTATTATTACTACCAATCGGTGGAGATTTTTGGTATGGCGGATTCCTACAATTCTACCAAATTTCAAAACTATTAACAGTTTTTTCTTTGTTGACAGGATTAACTTGCCTGATGCAATTATCTGCTTTCGAAGATGTCTGCAGATTTTAAGTACATGCAATTGTCTTTAGTCTGAGAGGTGCTAGCTTCCTGAAATTTTGACATCGACTATATTAAGCAATTTTAAACCCTATCGTAAAAATCGTTTCAACTACTCAGTTTAAGAGAAATGATTTAAATATGAATTTTTGCACATTAGTTCAGCTTTAACCCTCGTTATAAATTAAACTTTAGACAATTCTGTTTAAGAGTGCACATTCTTTTATTAGTTATTTTAAAATCACACCTGATCAACGAGGAAGCTACGTCACCGGAATAGTATTTTGAAACTTGTCGGAAACCACATGTTTATTTTGTTTATAGTTGTGTTTCTGTTTTTATTTAACTTTTTAACTAAATTCAATGTTTAGGAAACGCAGTTCTTTTTGTTCTTACGTGTATAGCAATTGTCTGTTTTCTGTGATGTCACTGTTATTCTTTTAAATTTTTTTTTACTCTTTTAAACATTGCTTATATTGTTTATTCTTTTGTAAAAACTTCTAGACACAGAACCTCCAATGTTTTTTATGTGCCCAGAATCTTTTAGTGTGAGTGACGTCGGTTATCAAGGGGTCATTGTGACCTGGGATGAGCCCGTTGCTACTGACAATGTAGCCATCCAATCAGTTGTAAAAAACTTGGTAACTATTTTTTCGTTTACATTTCCAATCAGTTTAATTGAAATATAATTTAGAGATCATCGCATTCAAATGGATGTACTATTAACCTATATCCAGCTCATCTTGCAATATAAAGTGATTTAAATAGTGTAGGATAAACCGCAACCCGATTTTATTACTCTTAAACTATTAAAAAAGATGTGCCTATTAAGAGAAAGTTTATTTTTTTGTCTGGTTTCATAACATTTAAATATGATTTGCTCTAAATAGTTTTAGTTTGTAACAGCCGACCCAACTTTGGGTTTACGACTACCGATGTTCAACACCATAGCCTTGTAATTTTAAACCCAATCCAAAAAACAAGGGAACTCCTGGATTAAGGACTGGGAGAAGAAATTTGCTCTCGTGGAGGGCTTCTTGATGGAACTTACCGGCAATTGCGTTACATTGAGAGGAAAACCATGAAAAAAAACCCACGATTAGTCTGACGGCAAGGGGATTTTAACTCTTAATCAGTCTACCACTGAGGATATTTTACGTTCGTACTGTGGTCGGTGCGAGCCGGGTGTGGAATTCGTATCGACCAGCCATCGCTGGGATTCGAACCCGGTTCACCTCATTATAACGCGAATACTCTGTCCCCAGTGCCACCACGGTTCGCACAAAATAATCTGCATATTTAACTTTAGGTCTTCGCACCATTGAGATTGGATCCTAATATGTAAAAGGTAGGTAGGTACTTTATTTACGTCGAACTAGAGCTGCGCAATGGGCTATTTTTCGGTTGTCCGGGAAACATCCCTGGGGATGATCCGAAGATATGCCATAACAATTTTGATCCTCTGTAAAGAGGATGGCTTTCCCGCTTTGGTAGCCCGACAACCTGCTCGTAAAGTCGAGCACTTTGCTGTAGAATAGTTTAACGAGAATCGACACCGCGCAATTTCGGTCCCAACGCAGACTGACCAAAACGATCAACCACACGTTTTCTGATCGCAGCCAGTGATTCTTGAATTCGGTGTTCTACTGAGAACCGTGTCTTTACGATCAGACCACTGCGGGACCCTAGTATGTAAAAATCCGCTCATTTGATCAAATACTATGCAGTGTGTTCACTTTTTTTTTTTATCTCGCGCTCTGTATGCTTAAGTGCTCTTGTTTATGATAGCTCACTCGCTTGATACTTCAGTTGCCAGTACAAATACCTCTTTGCCAATACAAAAAAAAATTTCACTGTTTTTTTTTTAACATTCTACAAAAGTATTAATGTTTTATGTAATAAGATAGCTCGACAAATATTTAAATTATTTATTCATTTGTTATTTTTGTTGATAAAAGATTCCTTTTAATTAATTTAAAATTTGAGTAATAGACCTATTACAAACATGTGTTCTTCTGTAAAAAAATATTTCAGGAACCAAATTCTACTCTCAACGCCGGAGTTCATTTTGTTGAATACACAGCTAAAGATGCTTCCGGAAACAGTGCAACCTGTGCATTTCAAATTAATATTACCCGTAAGTATACCTTTGGTTTACCATTAAAAAATATTTTTTATTTCCAAAAAGTAAATGAACCACCTTAATGATCATGCAATCACCACGCTTAATATGGCTTTCGGGAAAGTAGGAAAAAAAATTAATGATATCGTAGTTCATATTAACTAATATTTAAATAAATGAAGCTTATTGATTTCTGAGGAACCATATTTAAACTTGATTTTCACAAAAGAGGAGTAGCAGTTATACGAAAAAAGGATAGGCTATTTGTTGGATGTTAGTGAAACCGCGCAAACAGATCGTTAAGTATTGTATTAATCGTTCGTATTGTTATCGTTAAGATTTTTTTTAACCTTCTTACCTTGTTCAAGTTCACTTACTTTTAAATAGAATTTGATAACATTTATTTAAGTTATTTAAAGTTAATGATTACATGTTTTGATGGTTCGATGATTACGGATCATTCTGATGTTTTCCGATCGATAACATAATCTAGAGCGACTTCAACCATCTGATTGAATTAATTCTTATTCTCAAAATAAGAGGCTCGCCCGAGATGTACTTTATGCTAACTGTTAATTAAGATACAAACTTAAAAATATACTTGCTTATAATTAAAGAGTCTTTTTTTTGTTGGATAAAGGTTTTTTTTTTTTTTGCAAAAAATATCTCAAATTTTATGCAAAATTCAACGATAAGAATCATTTTACTAAATACTTTTTTTAACAAAAAAAATATATAATTTTCATGAAATCTGATGCTCAGAATTTATTACTTAGATACACGATAAACAGCAAAAGGTTTTTTTACTCCTAAAATCAGGTGCTCACTGTAAAGATCTCAATGATCCTGAAAATGGCAAGGCTGTTTGCATGGATTGGCTGATGGGTAGGCTCTGCAGACCTGCATGTAATCCAGGCTTTTCACGTGATCCCGATGAGCCTAAATTTTTTGCTTGTAGTGATTCTGGAAAATGGACCCCTTCAAATATCATTTCCCCGTGTCTTTGTGAGTATTTTAATTTGAACTAAATAAGCATTTTTTAATAATTTAACAGAATATCAGATTATACCAAAACAATTTCTTACCTTTATCAAAATAATACAGGGTCTCATATATTTTAATAAATATTTAAATTTTTAAAGTTAAATATGCACATTGGAGGACACAAATTAGTATTTAAATGAGAAAAATAAAACAAAATGCTAATAAACCATGACGAATAATTATCAAGGTAACAAAGGGGAGGTCCAAATTATGAAGGAAAAAAACAATTAATTTGTTGGAGAATACTTTGTTCATCTATTCAAAATTGCTTTTCGGCATCTAAATAAAATAGTATTTTTTTCTTTATTTTCATTCCTCCATGAATTTGATTGACCTAAATAATGATATTAATAAAGTTTTTAACTCTATTATTAATTTGATACTTTAGTTTTTGAAATTAGTTTTTATTTTCTAGTAACTTTCTTTAAATATTTGAAGCTGTATGTAACAAATCCCTGAAATAAATATATGAAAAAAATTATTTGCAGACAAAAATGCATTATAGGACGGCTAAGTTCTTTTCTTCTTTAATAGCACTGTTTTTCATTTGAAAAAGTACTGATAGCTTTGAAACTGATTAAACTAACCAATGATATCAGTTCTGGCAAGCGAAACGTTTTGTATTATTTATAAATTTATACTCTTCAGTATAAACTTAATTCTGGATTAGATAAACAACACATTATTTTGTTCTACGCGTCAGGGGCGAAATTTGAAAATTGCGTGTGAAAAACTCTCCTATTTCTGAAAAACATACATTTTTATAATAATTATATTAGCAACTATGAGAATATTTTAATGTTTGCATAATCAACATGAAACTGGCGAACATAAAATATTTTATTGTAGAAAGTGAATATTTTGAAATGTATATTTAATACTGCTCTTTCAATTTGATTTAGAAAATTTATTATTTCCAATGTCTTTTTCAGCTATATGTTCGAATGGAACAGAATGGTCAGCAATCTCGCAAAGCTGTGAGGAAGAATAGCTTTTATTATACAGTAGTAAATATTAAGGTACAAAGGCTATTAAACTGTAATTAAAAATTGTTTTTAAGAAGTTTTCGATACACAAATGTTTCACACACTTGCATTTATCGTTTCCTAGTGACATGCGTTTTTCCTAAAAGCACTTTCTCAACTTCTGAGCACTTGGCAGGGACAGGGAGTCCATACACACTTTTCAGATGTCAGTAGTTTTCACTTTTCTTAATGACTTCTTCTATTTTTGCAGCATGAAGGTCTTCATTAACTTTTCTTATCGTCCCTTAGTGACATGAATGTTTCCTAGCACTTGTTTCACTTCTGAACACTTGACAGGGACATACAGTGCTCTCTATTCACCTTTTCCAGCTGTCTATGATCTTCACTTTTCTTGATGACTGCACCCATTTTCGCACCCATTGACAACTGCTTACTTATCATACTTATAGCATTGCTTTCTATACCGTAACAACAGACAACTACAGAGTGAATCCTTTTAACCTTCCGTTAGTCGCGCGCACCTCACAGGTGCATCCCTACTGCACTTCCACCTCCTTTGCCGTCAATAGATTTTTCCGGGGGTCGAGCCTAATGTTACGTTCCTAACTTTGGATTACTCAAATGTCCGTGTAAAACCGACCTTAGAACATGTCGATGGAGAGTTGGAACCGCTCAAATCACCCCTCTGGTGCAGCGCGACCATTGACGCAAGTATTATGGATATAATATTTTTATGAATTAAATATATATATTTTATCTCATTTTCTGTCCTTCTCAACGTAGCAGGTATAAATGGTCAAGTTATATACACAGAAAATGGTTACGGAGTAAAAAACCGCAGAACCTTCTTGCGTCAATTGGTTGAACATCTTGTGATGGAGGAAGAGATCCGAGGCGAGAGCAAGAAAAATTTATCTTCGGTACTTCGCTAAATAAGTTTTTTGATATTTATCTCTCTAAAGAGTCTTAAATTGGTAACAATTAACTATTTAAACTAGACTAAATTTCATTTGGCTTTCAAAAAATCAGAAACACCTCATAGGTGCAACGCGATTAACCATGTCGGAAACAAGTGCGCGACTAACGGAAGGTTAA